CAGGCAAAGGTGGTGGCAAAGGGTGAGGAGGTGTGGGGATGGGAAAGGAATGTGAGAAGGTCCATGTGCTCGTATATAGGGATGGGAATGAAGTGTGGGGCTAAGAGCATAAGTGCATGGGGTTTCTAAACAACTCTGCAACTTGGTTGCTGGGGAGGGGGCCCTGTGGTGAGAGATTGCTGAGAGGTTGCTCTTTGTAGAGATTCAGCTGGAGGTGAGGATTCACTTGGTGGAGATTCAGCTGGGGAGGGAGTTTGCAAGCCAGTTGTGGTATGTAATGCCCAGGGAACAACCCCATTTTGTCCTGCTCCAACTGGCTAAGGTCTTGCCATATTGCCAGTCAAGATTTTGGAGAGCTGCTCTGATATTAGCTGATGGTTGTTGGCTGAGATTGCAGCATGGAGTAAGCCTGAGCTCCTCAGAACAGAGTTCTGTACTGAGTGTGAAGTAGGGGATTGGCCCTGTGCTTTAACTCATTGCTCCCCACAGAGCGTGCTGCAGAACAGACACATCCTCACCCAGGTGGTTATAAAGCCCACCTTCCTGACATGGTTAACCTCCTGCCCCTGTGCATGTGGTTAGCACAGAGGCTCTGAGAGGTCAGGCAAGGTGTTAACTGGGTTTGAAAATCCAAGCCTAAATTCTCTTAGGGTGTTTCATGGCTGATTGCAGGACCATAGACCTTCCCTGGTGGCTTTGCTAGAGGAAGTAGGGGATACCCTTCTATGGGAGGAAGAACCAGGAGTATCCAGTAAAGTTGCTCTGTCTTCTAGGGACCTGCAGGAGAATTACTGCCGGAATCCCGATGGCTCAGAGGCTCCCTGGTGCTTCACCACTCTGCCTAGCATGCGCGTGGCCTTCTGCTTCCAGATCAGACGATGCATGGATGAGGTGGAAGTAGAGGGTAGGCCCTGACCTGTGTGTGGAGGAGACAGCTGATCCTGGCCACCCTATAATAGCAAACCAGTGTGTGTGGCCCAATGCCCGTGAGGCACCCTACAGTAACGAGCCAGTGCATATAGCCATTGCCCATAAGTAATCCTACCATACTGAGCCAGTATGTACGTTTTGCCTCCAGAGTGGACTCTGGGAGATGAGGTGAGGTGGCAAGGGTTGTGGGCATAGGAAGAGGGCAGGAGATCTCAGGGTGGGGAGCTTGACTGGTGTCCTGTGAGTTGTGCAGGGAGGACGGAAGAGGGTGGGAGGTTAAGCTAGGCCTCTGGTCACCCTGCAAAGTCTGCAGGACAGAGCCACATACCCCATTGTCTGCTCCTGTCCCTGCACTCTAGATTGTTACCATGGTAATGGTGAGCTATATCGAGGCCACACGAGCAAGACCCGGAAGGGTGTCACCTGCCAGAAGTGGTCAGAACAGTCTCCTCATGTCCCTCAGTGAGTATGTGGGGATGGGAGGTTGCCCTCTCCTGCCTTGCTTAGTGCTACAGGTGCCTGTAAGGAACTGTGCCATCTGGTGGGGAGCCAGGAAAGCCAGTACTATCCCTGAAGCCAGCACTCCCCTTAGCTGCTCCTACAGCTAGAGGGGCTAGTCATACCCATAGGCAAGTGCCAAAGGTAGGTGGCAGAATGAATGGGAGTCAGCTCATGGGAGAGGGAAGCAAGAGGGTTGCTGCAGGCTCTGGAGGAGGGACAAGAAGTTTGAGATGAGAGAGGACAGGGGCAGGGGGGCAGTGGAAGGGACTGAGGGGACATGGCAGGGGAGGGAGGAGGGCATGAGTCAATTTCCTGTCCCTGTCTTCCTCCAGGATCTCCCCCACCACACACCCAGCTGCACACTTGGAGGAGAACCATTGCCGCAACCCAGACAATGACAGTCATGGGCCTTGGTGCTACACCATGGACCCCCGCACGCCATTTGACTACTGTGCTATCAAGCCCTGTGGTGTGTATGTGTGATGTCATGGGGATGGCTCAGCCCCTGGCCTCTTTGGGAGTGAGTCACAGGGAGGTGCAGAGAGACAGCTCTGGGCTCACAACCCTCCTCCCTTGAGCACGACTGAGCCGTGCATGTCCTTGTATTCACTATGACCCATCATCCCCTCTGTGTCAGGGCATGGCATGCCCCGCCATCTCCTCTGGGCCAGGCTCAGCTGTGACTCAGTCTCCCCTCTGATCCAGGTTATACAGTCTCAGAATCTCTTCTGCGCCAGACCATGCCCTGACATCCCCTCTGCACAATGCTATACCCTAATGTCCTAGCTGTGCCAGGCATTGCAATGGCTCTGTATCCCGTCTTTGTGAGGTTTGCTGTTCCCTGTGCTTTGATTCCCATAGAGTGATGGGTGGGGTCTGTGCTGCTTCCAGCAGAGGGCTGTGACCCATTGGAACAGACCTCTTTCCAGTGCTTCCCTGGAACTGGAGGCACCATGTCCAGCTGCTGGATCTAGTGCCTCTGCTCAAGGGATCCCAGTGCTGATGGGACTGGGCATGTGAGGAGCAGAGACCTTCTGTGGACTATGGAGTAGGGAAGTTTGGTGCCTCTGAGAGTGAGATTACACATTATAATTGATCATGTTAAGAGTGCTAAAAACTTGAATGATCACATGTTAAAATTGATTAATTAGTGCTAATGTTAATGGCATTTTAAAGTTATACTACTTCATGCTAGAACTATATCTGAGCTCTGATAGCTAGCTTGAGTTAATGTCTGGGTGTTTACCTGAACCACCAGTTTGTGGTCCTCCCGTATCCCAGGAGGCACTGCTCCCAGGTGGACTAGCTGCATTCCAGGGCCATAGCTGGGGACAGTCAGGCAACAGGTGAGTGAGGAGAGAGGGAAAAGGAGTAAAGCTGGGTAGGAGAGCCAGGGGGAAGGAGGCATAAGGAAGCTGTGAGAAGGTAGGGGGGAGCTGCCAAGTCGCTGCCCCCTCTGCATCCCAAACTCCCCCTCAACCTCCAAATCACCTCCTCCACCCCCATATTGCTCCCCTGTCATCCTAATTCCCCCTCTGCCCCTAATTTCCCCTTCTACTTCCAGATCTCTGCTGTGCTCCCTCGATCAGCCTGAGAATAGAGGAAGTACTAATGAAGGGGTTTCCCTCCTTGCCTGCTCCTAGGGTCCCTGCAGGCCATGCGATCCCTGTGTGCCCAGATCTAGTCCCTGCCAAGTCCTGCAACTGAAGAGGAGGCAGGGGGAAGGTGGGGAAGCAAGGGAGAGCCAGGCAGCTTCAGGGCCTGGTGGGGCTGGATCTGAGTGCATGGGGGTGGCAAGGACTACAGGGGAGCAGGCATAGAGGCCCCCCTACCTCTCCACTCTGCTGCTGCCACCACCACTGCTCTTGTGCTGATTGGGGTGGCAGGACAGTGATCTGGGACTGTAGGGGCCAATCAGGGGCTAGGAAGGGCAATCTGGGGTGGAGGGGATAATCACAGGGTGCAGTTGGGATCCAGGAGCCAATGGGAAGCAGCGGGGTGATTTGGGGAACCAAGAGAACAATCCATGTAGCATGGGGGGCCCTTCCCCCTCCCTCCTCCTTGGCCTATATTGTGATTGGAGTGCCAGGCATGGAGCAGACTTACAGCCCCTAGCTCAGAGGCAGGCAATTATTTCGGGCACAGGGTTGCTTACCGAGTTTTGGCAAGCTATTGAGGGCTGCATGGATAGCCTGGCCCCTTGACACGTGGCCCGCCCCCTGATCGCCAACTTGGGACCGGAAGTACTGCCCCTTAACCCCGACCTTTGCCACCAGAACAAACATCTACAACGTTAATTAATTTGATTTCAAAAAATATTTTTGTCCTGATTTACATGTGTTTGTGTAGTGTACACAGAGGTGATTGCACAATAGCTTAAAATGAAGTCTTACTCTTGTATACTGCGGGGGGAGTCACGGGGGGTCGGTATAGGTTTGTGGAGGGCTGTGGGTGTGTGCCTGTGTAGGGTGTAGGGAGGGTGTGGGTATGTGGGGGGGTTGTGGGCAGGGTGGATAGGTATCAGGGTGCAGGTGTGGAGTGAGGGAGCATGTGGATGTATGTGTGGTTATGTGGGGTGTGGGTGGGTATGGGTTTTGTAGGGGGTTGTGTGTGGGGGAGGGTGGTTGGGGTGTGTGTAAGGGTGGGAGTCTGTGTGTATAGCAGTGCAAGGTGGGGTGTGGGTGCATGTGTATGGTGGGGTGTGCTTGTGAGACTCACCCTATGAACACACACACTGTGCCTCCCTCACTACATATACATTCTGTGCCTCCCTTACTACACACACTCTCTCTCTCTCGCTTTCTCTCTGACTCTCTCTCTCTCTCCTTCCCTCATTGTTCTTTCTGTCTTTCTCTCCCCCTCACTCATTGCATGGACAGACGGACAGACACACACACACCCCTCCCGCTCCTGGCCCCAGGGTACTGACACAGCCCTATACTCCTGCAGTCCAGCAATGTAGCCCAGGGCCACATGATGCTGGAGCAAGTGTGCAGGGAAGCAGTGAAAGCTGGGGCAGGCAGAGGCTTGTAGTTGGGTGGGAGGGGAGCAGGAGGGGGCTAGCGGGGTGGGGCAGGGCTGGACCAGCCTTTCTCCTGAGTCCTGCTGGCTTCCCCTGGATCCTACTGCCCCTGGCTCCAGTCATCTTTGACAGGCAGCCATGAGCAGATACATATTAATTTTCTAAACTTTTTAGGTGCCCCAAGAGTTGGATAGAACGGCCTGGCAGGCCAGATGCGGCCCACGGGCCATATTTTGCCCACTCCTGCCTTAGCTACATCCCTGCTCAACAGCCCTCTATCTGCAGGTCTGAGCAGTGCATGTTAGAGAGGGTATTAACACCACTAGCACCAGTTAACCTTAACACAGACATTTCTTAGAATTAGCATCTGTTAACTCTAATGTGTAATCTCATCCTGAGGAACACACACATCTCTTTATGACCTTGCCTTAGGCTTCCAGACTGAGAACCTGCCAGAAGTGTCTGGCCCAAGGTCACAGAAGTGGAGGGGCACAGCTAGGGGCAGGGCCAACTCTTAGGTCCCATTGGGGATGTCCTGCCCTCTGTGGCAGAGATGGGCAAAATATGACCCGTGGGCTGGATCTGGTCTGCCAGGTGATTTCATCTGGCCTGCAGGCATCCACCCATTAATTATACCCTGCCGAGCCCATCCATATGCTTTGCTCCCACCCTCCTGCACAGGAGGGCCCCAGCCCCAGCCAGCATGCACAGCTTGTGGGCGGGGGGGAGGGAACGCTGCTGTAGCCACCGGGGAACCTGCTCAGCCTCCAGCAGCTCTTCATTGTGTCCCTACTGCAGTGCTTGCTCCAGGCACCAGGCAGAGAAGCTGCAGCTGGGTGGGAGCATGGAGAGTGGAGCTGGGGCTGGTGGGAGCGTGGATCTCAGGGTCCATGCCCAGAAGGGCAGTGGGAGTATGGAGCTCAGGTGGGCAGTGTGTGGGTGTGTGGTCTTTGTGGGGTGAGGGAAAATGGGGGGGCATGGGAACCCCCCACATGGCCTTCTCCATGGCTCACAGTCCCTGCCATCACCGGCGGCAGCAAAAGCGGGCCCTCGAAGTGTTTGTGGCCCATGCAGAAGAGTAAGAGTTTATTTCTGAGTTATTACACAATCACCTCTGTATACACTATTCAAACACACATAGATCAAGATGAAAATAGTTTTTGAAATTAAAATACTTCAGAGTAGATGTTTGACTTTTAGTATATGTTTTGGTTTTTTTCTGGTTCCAAGAAGGCCCCCCCCCCGCACCTCAAGGAGTACTTCCAGGGGCAAGGGGAGGGACTTCTGTTGGCAAAGGTCAAGGGTTAGGTGGGAAATTACCATTCCAGGATGGCAACCAGGGGGTGGGGCTATCATTGTGGCCCTCGACAGCTCACCAAAAGTCATTATGTGTCCCCCACAACCAAAATAACTGCCCATCTCTGCTCTATGGGCTGGGGCTTTCACAGAGCCTGCTTGGCAGAGCAACTTCTTTGGGGCCTTCCCCACACCATGGCCAGCACAGCTGCCTGTTATCTGCTGAACTCGCAAGCCCTGGGTACGACTGAGACCCTAGCTCTGACAGCAGTGATGGGTGGACTGGCACTGTCATGTGCCCAGCCTGCTCCCCACTGCCTTTGTGCCATGTGAGGAGGGTGGTCAGAAATTACAAATACTCAAGCATATCCCATGTGAGGGACTGCTAATGACTGGGCTCAGTGCTCTGGGGTGATGAGCTTGGCCCAGTGGTGGGGTACTCAGCGAGGGGCTGTGAGATGTATGGAAGGGGATGGGCAAATGGGTGTGACTGGCCTCCAGTGCTAATCACTGGGGAGGGCCTAGCTCAGTGCTGGTGTAGTGCTTTCTGGGAGCAAGTGGCTCTTCCTGGAGGCAGGGGACTTTGTGCTCTTCTCCCTATTAAGCAGGCCCTGCGTGTGGCATTTCCAGAGCAGCAGCTGTCCCTTGTTGTCCCCAAGAAATCAAGGAGAGGTTTTTAAAGATTAAAGTTAATAAGAAGAAAATGCCAGTTTCTGTGGGTGGGGCCAGTGAAGCTGGGTCTGTGGAGATGGGAAGGGCTGTGCAGGCTTGATTATGGCCTGCAATCTCACAGCAACCTTTCTCCCCAGCCCTGTCACCTTCCTTTGGCTGAGAACCTCACTGGCAGGGGCACAGCTGTGACCCTGGAAAACTACCTTTGTGTCTCTGGTGCGGGTGTCTCTCTCCAGAAGTGAGGCTGGCTGTTCCCTTTCCCTCCCCATTTTCTAACCGCTGCATATTCCAGGTCTGACATTCATTCCTTATCTGTGCTTTGCTTTCCCAGCTGGTGACAAGATACCATCTGTCCTGGAGAATGCAGGTAAATCTACTGGCTGCAGCTAGGGCCCTGATCCTGAGTCTGGGGCAACCTCAATAAAGGGATAGATGCTCAAGGGCAGAGGCTAGTGTCCCAAAGTGGCCCCCACCATTTGGGCCCAAGGGTGTTGACTTAGTGCTGCGAGGGAGGAGGTTGTCAGACAGAGGCACCTGTGGGAATCTTCTCCTGAGCCTAGTTCTTGACGTAGACTTGCCCATCTTATATCACCCTTATCCTTGCTGTGCTGTCAGGTAATGTGGTCTTCGATGAGTGTGGAAAGAGGGATGAGCGCCTGCAGCTGAGGGGCCGCATTGTTGGAGGACGCCCTGGGAACTCACCCTGGACCGTCAGCATCCGCAACCGGTGAGCAAGATCCTGATAGGGGGCTGCAGCTGACGCCAGCTGGGGGCAGACATAGAGCTGGGATCACAGGAGAGCAGCTGCAGCAGCCTGCTCCAACCTCATATCTGGATGTTTCTAGAGCTGTCATTCTGAGGCTTAGCTGTGATGTATTTTAACTCCATTTAGTGTGCAAGAATGTTCTTTGCACTTATCAGTATAGTGTGCCTCTTTCTGACTGGAGATGCAAAGACTGTAGCCAAAGACCTGGGGTAGCATGCATCTGCATTAAATTTAACCAATCCCCATCTACTCTGTGAGCTGCTTCTCCTGCCATAGGAGCACATGTGCCACAGCTTCCTGGGAAAGGGGGCTGGAGAGATTAAAAAGCAGAAGCCTTGAGCTCATGGTGGAACTGGCTTCCTAACCTCAGCATGGTCTTGCTGGCAGTCCGCAAGATACCTGAAAGTTGGGTTAGTCAGGGCTGGAGGCCAGTAGTTTAGGGACACTAGCATTCACAGAGCAGCCCATGGCAGCCACAATGGATGTCCTGTCAAAGTTTCACCACAGACAGAAGAGAAAGAGCAGAGCCAAGCAAAAGCATGGCAAGACATTTGCACAGTGCCAGTCACTTCCACTGGCATCAGAAAAAAAGTAAAGACCTCTGGGAGAAGCTTGTTATTTATTCATGACTGAGTTATTTATTCCTAATTGGGGGCAGGGACCCAGAATTGTTTTGGTCAGTCCACTTCAGGGAAGATGGAGGAACTTTGGAGGAGTTAAACCAGATCAAAAGATGGACAGCATAGATAGTAGATGACATTGAAAACTGATAAATGTGAAGTGATGTTTATTGGAGGGAGCAACGGAAGCTAGTCACACACCATGAGCTGCCTCTACTCAGGAATGGGATATAATTGTTATTGAAGACAGCCCGTGTGCAACTGTGGTCAAAAAGCTAAGATGTTAGGCTGCATGTGGAATGGGAGAGAGGGTTTCAAGAAGAGATTGGATGGGCCTCTGTCAGAGATGGTTTAGGAACAGCAAATCCTGCATCTGTGCAGGGAACTGGGCTGGACAAGCCTTAAGGTGCCTCCCAAACCTCTGATGTGGAGAATATTCTAATGCTCCTAGATAAATCGATGGTGTGGCTTCAGGCTTCTCAGCAGCATTGTGTGCAGGATTGACTGTCCTTCTGCTAAATGGCTGTGACAGAACTAGAAGGGGACAGCAGCAGGCCATGAAAATGATCAATGACCTGAAGAGACTTCTAGGAAGGGACTGGAAGGACCCAGATGACTCAATGCAGAGTGATGCTAAATATATGGGGATGGCCATAGGTGCACAGAGCACCATGCTCTGGCAGGGAGAGGCAGATGAATAACTCCACCTTCCCCTTCAGCAGTACCAGGGGCAGGTGGGAGCAGGCACATTTCCAACCAAAACTTTAGACATTTGGCATGTGGAACTTCCTGCCACAGGAGGCTGGCATAAGAGATGATATGGCTACTAATAAGAATAAACACCAGCCCTTTGGGGAAGGGTCTGGATGCTCCTGCTGCTACACAAGCTGATCCCCAAGCAAAGAGGACGATATGCAAACTTTCTTGGGGAATGTTATTCCAACATTGTTCGCTACGGTATTTCTTGCTTTCATCTCTGGAGCACCTGGCATTGGCCCTTGCTGGGCATGGGAGGCTGAGCAAGTCATGCCCTTCCTCTTAGCTGTGCCAAGGCTTCCTGTGCCACATGGCCCTCTTCAGGTCAGCCCTCAGTTCTGCTGGCTATAGGCAGTAGTAAAGTGTGCCATGTGTGTGGCCCAGATCGTGTGAGGCTGACTAGTGGGACAACACATAGGGGTAAGTGCAAGAAGTGGTATACAAGGACCCTGCTCCTCCAGTTTATGACGTGTCTCTGTCTTGCAGGGAAGGAGTCCATTTCTGTGGGGGATCCCTGGTGAAGGAGCAGTGGGTCATCAGCACGCGCCAGTGCTTCTCCTCCTGGTAATGTGCCTTGACTCTGCCCTGGGGCTGCACTGTAGGGGTTTCCCTGGGGGAGTGACTGTTTGGAGCAATGTTCTTCTGAGCCCCCAGTGCTGCAGGGGGCTTAGAGCCAGGCTTCTTCCCACTGGTCAGGAAATACCAGTCACTTTGGGGAGGGTGGTAATGGAACAGAGGAGACACAGCTAAGTTTGGTCTGAGTTCTGGGGCGTGAATGGCCTGTAGTAGCAAGTCTGGGCCCAGTCACAAGGAGGGCCAAGCAGACCCCAGCAACCAGCTGTACTGAAGAAGACAAGGGCTCTGATACAGGCATGCTTCTGTAGCACCCCCAGGTCTTGGCTACAGGAAGGGTGGGGTCAAGCCTTGTCCCCCATCTCTGTGTTTGTCTCAATTAGTTCCTAGGCCAGTGGTTCTCAACTTTGTTAGGCTCAAGCACTCTCTTGGAAAATGCAAGCTCTTAGCTTTCACTTGCTTTTTGACTGTGAAAAAATAGCAGAACAGTTCTTCTGTTGCAAAGAACTCAGAAAGATCACAACAGGACAGAATGTTTCTGACATTATGGATTTCTGTTCAATATCTCTGGGTTTATCTTGTAAATCCTATGTGGGTATTTACATACCTAACAGTGCTAATATTGTGGGGCAATGAACTGAGGAGGCTGGAGATGGGTACAGTAGCCCTGGAGCCTGTTGCAAGTCATGGAGCCCTTTGGTGGAGGGAGCTGTAACTCTCCAAGGGGGCTGCATAGGGCTGGGCTCAGGATAGGGAGGGAAGCAGAGGCCATATGGGTGGGATAGGGGACTGAGTCAATCAGGGCACTGGGAGTGCTGCTGGCAGGTGGCCTGTGTGAGATAATGCTGGGGAGAAGGGGCAGAGGTTGTGCATGCTGCAAGATGGTGCTGGTGCCAGTAGGAGACACTGCAGCTTGTTCTGTTACCCTTTGGCAGCGATGCTGATCTGTCTGGCTACGAGGTCCAGCTTGGGACACTCTTCAAGGACCCCAAGCCCAGTGACCCTGACAAACAGGCCATCCCCATCCTGAAGATCATCTGTGGGCCTTCAGAGTCCCAGCTGGTCATGCTGAAGCTGGTGAGGTGAGGGGTCTGTGAGTGCTGGATTGGCAGACCTTTCTCCCTGGGCTGGACACATACCTCATCCATGCCTGTGTGGTGGGGAAGGAAGGGAGAAAGATGGAACACACATGCCTGCCCATTCTTCTCCAGCTGTGATTCTGCACAGAACTTCTTCCCCTTCACCTGGGCAGTGTGTGCCCAGTTCACCAGTGGAAGGCCCATGTGTCTGAGGAGAATCCTTTGAGGGCTGATGGCATCTTTCAATGTGGGAGAGCTCTGGAGCAGTGCCTGGTCACTCACAGACCAGGCATATTCTGTTTGGGCTTGCTGCGCATGTAATGAGTAGAGCAGCGTGCCAGTGTCAGGTCAGTGCAAAGAGGGCTCTGGTGATGCAGGGAGCCAGCTTCTGACTAGGTAGCATCAGGTCCAAGGTGAGGTGCCCACAGGGAGCTTGACTGGGGAGGGTGCTGTGTTCAGAGGTGCACTGGGTCTCTCCAGGAAAGGATGCCTGATAGTGCCAGGATGGTGCAGCAAGAATCTATCCCCACAGCAAAGGTGCTGGGCAGGCACATTCATTCTGTCTTCAGGTCAGAGCCTCCAGTTTTATCCTCCTGATTTCACCAAGCCTGGACTCACTGCTGACAATCTGCAGACCTACATCCAGGCAGCCTGGCTCAGCTGCCTCCCTTTTCCCCCATTCTGTGCCAGGGGAAGGGCATTGGGTAGCTAATGCTAGCAGCTCATTTCTAGCTGCCTCAGTCCCTGGCTGTGAGCTGGACACTAGCCCTGGCTTCATGGCTTAGTGTAGATAGAGTGCATTGAAGTCCAGGGAGCTCCTCTAGTAGAAAGGGAGGGCTGCAAAAGGCAGCTGCAGGCAGATCCTGGCCAGGCAGGGAGACAGGAAGCAAAACTTTCAGGTATCGGCTCTATGCAATGGGGCATTCTACAGCCATATGCTGCAGCCTGTGGCCAAGAAATTTTGAGCCCCCCAGGGCTCTGCTGAAGAAGAATAGGCAGCTCCCCCTTTAGGCAGCAATGGTCCCAGGCTCTGCACATTTGGAAGGTTAATGCTGGGGGCTGAATTCTGTGGTGGACATGGACATGTGGAGCCTCCATGTGCTGCCAAGTGTGGCACATTCTGTGTCTAGGCCTGGAGCCCAGAGCCTGGGGTTCTGCGTGCCTCTATCTCTATGCAGGTTGGCTTAGTGTGTCTCTATGTTGGCAGGCCTGCCACTCTGAACAAGCGTGTGGCTCTGATCTGCCTCCCACCTGAGCGGTACATTGTTCCTGAGAATACAGAGTGCGAGATCGCCGGATGGGGTGAAACCAGAGGTATCAAGCTAGAGTTGGGAAGAGGAATGACCCCAATGCACACAAAGCATCTCAAGCATGGCCCCCAGCTTCTCAGACTCATTGGGGCTGGGGCTTCACCAGTGATAGCTTTCTCTTCCCCAGCTCTGTGTGCTCTGCCCATACAGTGTGGAAGCCTTGGCTGGGCAAGGGACACAGGTTAGGTTGATGCCCCCTTCCACCTTTCATCACTTCAACCTCTAATCCCAGCCCATGGGATTTTCCCCTGGCCTGGTGGACATGCTTTCCTCTAGCCTGTGCTGTCACAAGCTGTGGGAACAACAGAGAACCCCAGAAGCACAGATAATTATATAGTTATGGTCCTGGTGGCACCAGCTCTTGCCCTGCCCCTCAGTGCTTTCCCTTTTCTCCTTCCTTCAGGCACTGGTGATGAGACTGTGCTCAATGTGGCCAGGCTACCTGTGATGAGCAATAAAAAGTGCAGCATGGTACACCGGGGCAAAGTGAAGGACAGTGAGCTGTGCACTGCACCCCTGAAGGCTGGGGTGGGTGCCTGTGAGGTGAGTTCTGGGGGCAGGCTATTAGGGGAGTGCCATGGAAGGAAGGGGTGTGTTAGCGGGAGTAATAGAGCAGTTGGGGGAGTCCTGTGGGGGTGGGGGGTGAGGAGAGAGCCATAAGTGTTGGATGCTGTGGGTTAAGGGAAGTAGTAGGGATGGGACAGGCTGTGGGGGAAGAGATGCCAGTGTGGGGACAGGTTGTGGAAAGTAAGGGAATTGCTGTGGAAGCAAGAGAAATGCCATGGGGTGCAGACTTTGGGAGTTAAAGGGAATGCTGTGGAGAGAAGAAGGTGCTGTGGGGGACAAGGAGAGCACCACAGGGAGCCAGATCTGGAGGAAGGGGAGTGCCATGGCACAGTGAGTAGCTGAGTTGACCAGGACCAAACCCCCAAAGTTCATCTTTGCCCCTGGTTTATTGTGGTGTCAGGCTGGCATAAGGCCAGAAATGGCACATGGAGCTGGGCTGGTGTGCAGCTGGATCTGGTATGCAGGGTCAGCTTGATGTGCTGGATCACACTCATGGACCAGCCCCACATGCTGACCCCATGCAGGATCTGGGCCACGGACAGATCCTGTGCCATTCACCCGGCCACTCATTCGGAAGGTTGGGCACCACTGTTTTATACCTTTGCTATGTATTGAATAACTAAAAAACCAATCAGATTCCAATGATTGCGTAGGAAGATCAATCACCAATTACCACACTGATACCCATGGACGGGTACCCTATTCTACTACTTTAGTATGTGTGTATACTAAGTAGTTTCTCTTACTGTTGAATTTCCCTAGCTTTCCGGAAGATGTCACTTATCTTCTAGATGTGATCTGCCAGGCCTTTGAAACTCCTAGCTCATTATATTTTTTGGCAGCCCAATCAAGCCTGGTCATCTTCCAGGAGGAGACAGGGAAGAGGGGCACTTGGTTAGAAACAAAGCCTTTATTCAACTAAGGAGAAATAGGAGGGATGTTGAAAGGGGACATGTCCTCTTTTTTGGTCCTCCCATCTACGTCCAGGTGTTTTTTTTTAAATATCAGCAAATGTCCCGGATTCTGCTCTGCCTCTGCTTTCCCTGCACTTCCTGGCTTGCCCTAGCAAGCAGCTGCTTTGGAGAGTAGGGGCAGGGTGATTGGAGGTAGGGCCGGTGCTGGGGCTGCAGTAGGGCAGGGAGGCGGGGGAAAGGGATGGGGGTGGGGTTCTTCAGGGGCAGGGGACTGTGGGTCCAGAGTGAGGAGCACCGGCAGGGCTGGTGGGGTGGGGCAGGGGATTACAGCTCCAGAGTGAGGGGTATCAGCAGGGATGAGAGGGGCATTGCAGGTTGGGAATGAGGGGCACCAGCATGGCCTGGGGGGCAGGGTACTGTGGGTTGGGAGTGAGGGGAAGCAGCAAGGCTGTGGGGATGTGGCTTGGGAATGAAGGGCAGGGGTAGGGCACAGGCCTATCACTGCCCCTTCACAATCATATACCTTCTCCCCCCCACTTCTCCCCCCGACAGGTGTCTTCTTTTCTAAAACTAGAAATATGGTAACCCTAGTACCAGGGGCACAGGGCCTCTAGTCTATCCAGCACATAGGAGGCAAGCTTTGAAACAGTTTGAGGAATGCTGTAGGGGTGCAAGGAGAATGTTGTGGGAGACAATGGAGGGGCGTGCAATGGGGGCAGGCTTTGGGGCCTAGGGGAATGCTGTCGGGGTCATTCTGTGGAGAATACAGAGTGTCTTGGAGGGCTGGGTTGTGGTATGGAGGGGAGCGACACAGGGGCAAGGGGAGCACTGGGATAAGTCTGACTGCAAGGGGGAGACTTGGAATGTAGGCCATGCAGCAGGCTGGTATGATGAGGTATTGGGGTGGGAAGGGCCCACAATAGGGAGGCCTGTGAGGCAAACATGGTGGGGGTCTGCCAGGGGAAGTGGTAGGATTAAGGCCCAGGTATACAGCCAGCAATCAGCTCAGGTGCTAATGCCAGAGGGGTAGCGGTAGGGGAACCTGCTCCATGCTGCAGGGCTGTGGTGGATGTAGCAGTCTGTGCAACATTTTTGCCCCCCTGCAGGGCGATTATGGGGGACCCCTGGCCTGCCTGACCCATGACTGCTGGGTACTGGAAGGGGTCACCACCCCATCCCGTGTATGTGCCCGCAAAGACCAGCCCGCGACCTTTGTCCGCGTCTCACTATATGTCGACTGGATCAACAAAGTGATGAAGATGATCTGAACCCCAGGGGCCTTGCAGAAACACGACAGCCAGGGCTCTCTGTACCCCAGGGGCAACCTGCAGCTGCTCTGGGGCACAAAATGGCAGAAACAACCCCAAAGGACTGAGCTCTGTGCTCTTTCCATACATAGATGGCTGTGGGCTCTGGGATGTATGTGTGCCTTTGCCTTTCATGTTACCTACCTATGCCAAGCTACAGGTCGCAGTGGAGTTTTTTGGGTAAAGCTTCACATGGAGAGGGGAGGGCTACCCTGGGTGGGCAGGCAGCATTCTGATCCTGCCTAGAAGTGGTCCTATCTCATCTCCTACACTGACACTCAGCTAGGCCCTTTAGTCCCTTTCTTAAGTAATCATCCCCTTGTTACTGCATTGGCTAATGGGAATAAATATGGAAAGTGATGGAATGGTCTCTCTTTCACCCATAAGGGGGGCTGGGATGAGAACTCCATGGGATGGAGTGCAGCTGTCAGGGCAGACCGGGGGTAGTTGGGCAGATCTGTATTCCCCAGCCTGTGCAGGGCCTGATGGGGTTTGAGTTTGTTGCCCTGAGGGCACAGGTAGGAACTCTGCTAGGAGCGGGGCCAAGTGTGCAGCTGGCCTTATCCCTGCTTTGTCCATGAAGTGCTCCTGCCCCGACTCTGCGAGCCTGCTTCTGGGGGTATTCATGCCTGGAGCCACCCTATGAAGGAGGGTTTCTGTGCTGTGACTGGCAGGAGTCCAGCCACCATGGCTTCCCCGGTCAAGTGAGGGATCTGTTCCTCAAGCACAGTCAGAGCCATGTGTTGGGTGCCCATCACTTCCTGTGGCCACAAAAGCAGTACTCAGGGTGGCTCTAATGTAGGGGTAGGATGAGGGGTTCATTAGGGCTTGGGGGCCAGCAACCCTCTTTGAGGCTCAGCCCATTTTTCTAGTTTTGATAGGAAAAGGACTTCTCCACTCCTGCGTGGAACGCTCTGAGTGCAGGGCAGGGGCTTCTCTGGGTTGTCACAGGTAAAAACGGGGAGGGGCTGGCCTGGGGCACTGATACCATGCCAGGCCCTCTGCCCTTCATGCTGCCTATAGCTCTGTACATTGGTGCCCATCTTGCTGTACAGCAGCCGGAGCTGTTGGGAATTGGCAAGGCACAGTGCAGGGATTTCCTTGGTATCACCTGTTTATTTGTAAGCTGCATGCAAAGCCAAGTCCCTGCCTGGGCAGGAGCCCTGCCCATCTGTTCATCCATCTGCCTACCTCACTCTCTGTCAGCCTCCTGACTCCTGCTTGCCCTTTCCACGTGCCAAATACCCTGCACATCCTCCTCCTGGCCCTGGCCATGCAACATGCTATTGCAGCCCCTGGTCTGGCTTCTTGGTCTTCCCTAACTCCTGCCCCATCTTTGTGCCTAGATACTTGCACCCCAGGAGTGTCTGGGCACTTCCTGGGACTGAACTACCCCTGCACTGCTGCAGGGACTAACTTCACTCCCGACACTCAACCACCATTACCGCTAACTAGGTTTAGACCAGGCCCATTGCCATGGGATCAACCCTTCTCCCTCCCCTCCTAGCAGCCATGCTAGCCCCTTGCTTCCATCAGGGGGAGGGAAGGGGGCAAGGTTATCCACTAAGCACTGTTCACAAACATGCCAGCCTCAGTCTCCACTCCAGACGGCACATGGTTCCCCACAGCAGCTTGCGAGAGAGGAACATGGTTAGCCAGCCTTATATTCCTGCCCTGCATGCCCAGTCAGGTTTAGGAACAGGGCTAACCATGCTTCTCTCTCATACCCCACCCAGTGTTAGCCAATGCCTTGGCATGAGGCAGGGTGCTGCAGGATGACATGAGCTAAACCCTTGTGTCCTCTGGATTAGAAGAGGCCTCCGGGGCATTGTATCTGGATCCCTGGATTTTCAGATATCTTTTCCAAGCAATCCCCCAAATTGCCATTTCAAACCCTCACACAGAGCTACAAGGCATAGCACCTGGAATACCAATAACACCTTGTAACAGAGAGCCTGGGGCACTTTGCTACTTTAAAGGAGAAAGGGCCCAGGGAGAGCCCCAGGTGGGGAGAGAGTGCAGGGGAGAAAGCTGCAGGGAGTTCACTCAGGGATACAGGCACTGTGAGTGCAGGAGCACAATAGGATGATGCCTGTGTGAGTACTAAGAAGCTAGTTGTTCCACAGTAGGCTGTAGTGTGGAGCCTTGTAGGGGAGCCTAGGCACTGTCACAGGTGGGCTACCATGGAAACCAGGCAGTGAGTCGAAACAAGGAGCACCTGCAGGCAACCCTATAGAGCTACCTGACCAGAGAGGGTCATATAGGCATATAGGCCCAGGGCCTGAGCTTGCAAGGCAATCTAGCCCTGCAAGCTGCAGGGGAAGGAGCTCCTGGCTAAGGGAGTGAGATGGACTGCTGAGCTGCCTTGGGATTACCAGTGAGATTCTGGGACCTTAAAGGGATATAACCCGGGGGGGGGGTTTCCCTTTTAAAGGGGCAGTGTGCTGTCTTCCCTTTTGTTGATGGTGGTGGGCCTGAAAAGGAGAGTTTATGTTATAGCCAGGAGGCTTATCTTTTAATTACAGTTCCAACTGGTGGTTTGGATTGATACAGGGGTGCTTTTGGCAGGTCCCATTAGTGCCCTGGGCGCATGTGATTGCCATGACCCATGTTGTGGGCAGGCTGAAGGCCAAGTAAGTGTGGTGCCCAGAGACAGAGGTCAGGGGCCCAGCAACATAAGAGTGATAGTACAGTGACACCTGTGAGGCATGGGATGTAGTGTAGGGACAGTTGGAGCTATGTAACTTGCCCCTAAGGATACCCTGGGGCACAGATGGGCAGAGAATGCCCAGGCAGCTCGGGAGCTGGGTCAGGGCCAGCAGTGTTGGGGGAAGGGGGGCGACCTGCTGGCTACTGGATAGCATAAGGCTCACTCTAAGACTCTCAAGGCAGCCTCTCTTCCAGTCCAATAATTACATCAAGGTGTGGTGGTCAAGACAGAAGGGAGAGTACCCTTGGGGCAGAGGGGGGTATGGGCTGTGGAGCCACTAGGGGTGTCACGGCCACCCTGGGACCCCAACATGCTACAGTCCCTATCACATGCTACATGTAAATCCAAAGGGAGATGAGGGACACTACCTTGCCATGGGAACAACAGGAAAGTAATTGGTTATATGATCAGAGGATCCTAGGAAAAGGATTACCTCCAGAGGAAGGGAAGCTCTCACAGCCTTTGCTACTCTGACCTAGGGGAAAAATTTCTTATTGATCCCAATTTTGGTGATCCTGAGAAGAAAAGCAAGACCCTCTAGACAAGAATCTCTGGTTTTTCTAAGTACTGGCAGAAGCAGCAGCATAGCCCTGTTAAAAACTGGAGTAACTTCCAAGGCCAGCTCTGATGAGCACAGTCAGTCAGCAACAGTGGGACCTTGCAGGATCAGAGACAAAAGAGGAGGACTAGCACAGACATGCAGAATGGGGTGCAAGGGAAAGACACCTTGCTCCTACCAGCTCTCATGCCCTGGCAGTGGAGCAGATGCTGGGCATTCCACCTGCATTATGAGGCCAAGCCCCATTATGTAATTGAGGAAAGCCCCAGACCTGCTGAACCTCCATGCCTAGGTTCGATGGTCTGGCCTGGGCAAGGACAGCCCTACATTCAGTGAGGGGCATGGAGAATTACTGCATGGGCATGTGGCCCACAGAACCCAGTAATATTTACAGGACCCCGGGGACAGAGGTACTCATGGTCTTGATGTGATGTTCCATGGGGCTCCGCCTCCCCTACCCCTGCCCACTTGCCAACTGATTGGTGCAGCCTGCATTATCCAGCCATGCCCGGTAGGCCCTGATTTTCCTGGGGGACTGGCATTGGTGGAAATTCCTATGGGCTAGCCTGGCTGTTATGGCAGCTGGAATCCCAGCCTTGATTGTGAACGGGCTAGGCTTTGGTCTCCTTTCTTTCTTTTCTCTGGTGTCCTCCTCCTCACCTTTGGGAGGAATGCCTCTAATGAATTCCTTAGACGTTAGATGCTGGGGGTGGGGATGGAACTGGTTCCTCCCTCCAAGTCTAATACAGGGGTATAGCTTCCCCTGCTCGGGATGCTGGCCCCAAGCTGGCTACAATGCTCCTGCCGGCCACCAGAGCTTCACCAGGCAAGGCATGCTCCCTGCTGGTATGCTCATTCTCCTCCCCGCTGCTGGGTTCTGGCAGGGCTTTTCAATCTTCCCATGGTGGCAGCTCCGGCCACCGCAACTGGCCTGAGGTTTCCCTGCCCCAGGAACAGCAGTTTGAAGAGCCAGCATAGCACCAGCTCACACAGCTGTGACTCCTGCTCCGACTCCAGTCATGCTCCCAGAGGTAAGTTTCCCCGGTCGGGGGTGGGGGTTTGTTCGGGTGTCATGGGGCTTATGGTGGGTCCCCCATCCCCTTCCAGTGCCTGTGGAGGCTTCTCACCACCACAGTGTGAGAAGCACCAGGAAGGGTACAGGATCCTTGTGCTACTCACCCATCAGAAGAGCAACACCCAGGCAGCAGAGAAATGCCGTAGATGGGTGCCAGCAAGCATCAGAGTATGGACCACCTGGAATCAGATGGGTAGTGTTATGTGGGACATGGACAACTCCCTCTATGGTCCCATTTAGAAATAGATTTATCTGGGTGTGAACACACTGAGACTGAACCAGTCCAGGGATGTGTCCTGCCCTCTGCCAAGAACAAGGCTCAGGCTGCACAAGAGCTTTGAAAACTTCCCAAGGAGATGCCAGGAGTTGCCCATCATTGGCTAGACAGGCCCATGGTCCTGTCACTATGGTGGAACTGAGTTTGGCCCCCTGGGAATCCCCTGGCTTTTTGCTCTGTGTGGAGGAACAGCAAGGGGCACAACCCTGTGCTGCCACCCCCACTGCTGCTAAGCAGGCAGGGGGTGCATCACCAGGGCAGCTTGGGGCTCACAGAAGCTGCAATGAGCTTCCCCAGGTGGCCCTGCCATGCCGGGTCCCACCCGCCGGGCTGCGAAGGCTCCAGGGGGAGGGCGGCAGGGCAGGGAGCCCGAGCCTGCAGCAGGCAGCTTGCCCCCACTCCAGACACAGATCTGGGGGGCACATGCCCTCCCTGTCCCCCCAGGAGTGTGCGCAGTAGTGGGGATGCAGCCCCCTGCCTAAGCCTGCAGCAGGCAGCCTTCCCCTGCCCCCCCACAGGCTCAATTCTGGCTGTGTCACCCATAGCGGTGGGAGAGCTGGGCTCCATGCTCAGCTATGCTGCAGCAGCCACCACCTCTCTCAGCCAGCAGCCGGGGCTCAGGCACTGCTGTAGGGGGAAGGGGGCTGCAGACCCATAGCCCTGGCAGCTGGGGGCCCCTTCTGGTAGGGCTGGAGGGGCAGAGGATTGCAGGGGATAATGAGGCTTAGGCCCCCCAGAT